CCTTCATTATCTTTAAAAAACAAACAAGCAAGCAGCAAACAAAAAAAAGGTATCAAAGGGAGCTGTAAGGTAGATTTATTGGAAATGAATGTCAGGCTAACATACCTTATCCACACAACTCTTGAAGTGTCATTTAGATTTGTTTTCTCTCAATGTGCACATAAAACTAGTGTGGCTTAATGAACTATTACATGGTGTTGCTTAGTAATGCTTCCCATGTTAATTTAAGATATTCTTTTCATAACTCTTCAGAATCTCACTTGGTCCTTTTGGGTGAAAGGATAGATGCTATAATACAGGAACTGGCACAGTTGAGGAGGACTTGAAAAAGATACAGTGGGGCAAAAGAGGTTTTTTTTTTTTAAAAAAGTAACACACAGAAGAGAATCACAGAATTGTTCTGGTAGGAAAAGACCTTAATGATCATCAAATCCAACCATAACCTAACTCTACCAGCCGTTAACCTGTCTTCCAAGTCCAGTGTTTAAACCATGTCCCTAAGCACCACATCTGTAAGTTTTTTAAACACCTCCAGGGATGGTGATTCATCCACCTCCCTGGGCAGCCCATTCTGGTGTTTGATAACCCTTTCAGTGAAGAAGTTTCTTCTAACAGCTAATCTAAACCTCCTCTGGTAGGACTTGAGCCCATTTCCTCTTGTCCTGTTGCTGTTACTAGGGAGAAGAGATCAACCCCCACCTCACTACAGCCTCTTTTCAGGTAGTTGTAGACAGATAAGGTCTCTTATCTCAGCCTCCTTCTCTTCAGACTAAACAACCCCAGTTCCCTCAGCAGCTTCTCATAAGGCTTTTGCTCTAGACCCCCAAATCTGCAGAAGCTAGAAGTATGTGTTTTGAAAATAAGATGTATTTTTTGCTTTAACTTACTGAAAATTATTTATTTCAGATGTGTGCTAAAAATGGACCACCACTGTCCCTGGTAAGTCTATAAAAACAAACAAAAAAACGAGTATAATAACAGTCAATTTGATCCTACATGATGAATTAGATGATGCTTCAAAAAATGCAACACTGAAGTGAAACTTTATTTTCACAGAACTTCTTGAGGCTTTAATATGTGAAAACAAACATTGTTCCTAATGTGTGTAGCAATGTGGAGTTATAGGCCCAGTAGCCCAAATCATGCAGTTTCTCCATATACAGAGAAATGCTGGCACATGAACGAGGTGAATGAGAGATGGCATTTCTTCCTTTTGCATAGTTCTGTTGTTAGCAGAAGAGGATATACCCACTACACTGTGAAAATCAGTTCTTGATTCTAGATGATGCAGAAGACACACTCAGTCAGTCACTGTGCTGTGGTTTGTTTTCACTGGCAGTCAGTAGAAGTATTACCTGCTGTCGCTATAAAACTACAGCGATCCGTGGTTGACTTGAAAGTGATTTTGTAACCAAAGCAACTTCCATTGTAACTGATGGAATGACTTGCATTATCTTCCACAATGACTGCAGTTAGTTCATAGTGTGAGAGACACTTCCTGTACAGACTGCATGTATCTCATGCTTTGCCAGCTTATGTCCTGTCCCACAGAACTTTGTGGAGGACAAAATTTATGTGAGGGGCCCAGGTCATTTGGCCTCAGGAACGAGACCTCATCCAAAATGGTGGCTTAAAATGTTCCTAAACCACAAGCAACAGACTGCTTTGGACATGCTGCTGACATCATACACGTTATGCTCTGCAAAAGCTGAATGTGTTGGGGTTTTTTTGTTTCATTTCGTTTTAATACCATAGTAATCTATTTCTCTCTTCCCTCCCTCTAGGGTGAATAATTGTGTGGGATTTTCTAACTACAAATTCTTTCTCCTGTTTTTAATGTATTCCTTACTGTACTGTCTGTTTGTTGCCGCTACAGTCTTGCAGTACTTCATAAAGTTTTGGACAGTAAGTTCTAAGCCTTTGTTGTTTATTTTTGCATGTGTTATTGGAGGCTGCATAAGCATGTTGTTACTCACCATTTACTCTTCCATAATTCATTATCATTAACAACCTCAAATGAAATGACTGAAGCAGAACAACCTTCCAAATATTAATGAGTTGCAGTGCCCAGATGAGTAACTGGGGAAGAGGTTCCAGTGTGGACACTGCAGTTTCTCTGCCCAGTGAAAACTGAATGGCACAGCTCAGGTTTTTTTGAGACTATTAGATAGATACATATAGAAAGAAGTGCCTATATCAAACAATGACATCTATATACATATATACACACACACACACATATATATACAAATACTGACAAATGTGAAACATAACTATTTTGTATCTTCCTAGACTTGCTTATGGATAATCTGCTACCAGATAAGGGCGATTAATTTCTTGGGAACTGACTGAGCTAGTGGCTTTTATTTGTCTGATACGGGTAAAATGTTAAAATGTGTACAATGTTCATGATACACATCTTTCTTGAAACTTATTATCAGTTGTCAAATGGTCAAAACAAATACATGCATCTTACTAGATTTAATAACATTTCTGTTAAGGGTAAGCATCCTTGTACATCAGTGTTATCTTCTATCTCTCAGTTTTGTTCCAGTCACATTCCAGGCTGAACAGAGTGTCTTCTGGCATCGTTCCCGTTTATCTCAAAAAATTTGTACTGTGCCTTCCTGTCTCGAGACAGAAATGAGTTAGTGTCAGAATTCTCTTAATCAGTTTCAATTAACTAGCATGGGAAAAATCACTGTAAGTGGAAGGCTTTCCATCGCATCTTTGTAAGTAAATAACAGCACATTTTCTGAGGCACTAGCTGCTGTCAGAGTAGCTGGGAAAAGGAGTCATTATCTGTGGCTGGAGAAATAATCTTAATTGGAGCAAAGAGATGTTGCCATGTCTGAGTAAGAGAAGCTTGATCATGTGTGTGGAATAGTTGTACTTTGAGACAGTTGGCATTAGGCAAGTAAGATTAGTGCAAGAAGTACCTGCCTTTGTGTTTGTCTAAGCCTATGGGTCCGATCTGCTAAAGTACCATCTTGGTCTGTCGGTTCTGTATGGCAGCTTGTCATGGAGAGCAAGGTACTATGTGGGAATTGAGCTGTCAGTATTGTGTGAGATGAAAAGCTATAAATGTATTTACCAGTCATAGCTGTGGCCTGACATATTTAAAATTAAATGGTCCAATTCTGCTCTTCAGTCTTGCTTAACTGTAAATAGTTAAAATTCCTAATTTGTGAATGTGCCACTCCCAAACATCTGCCTGGCTGCTTTCCAGTGCTTTGTATGCAATTTCTAATGAAACTGTAGATGTGCTTTTACATATTTACCTAGTTAGTGCTTGAGCAAAGACAATTAATTTGCTTTTTCACCTCACTTCATAAGTGTTAGTGCAACAAATGTCCCCAGAACGTCTGACCACAACGAACATTTAATACCAACATTTTCAGCAAGCCTCTTCCAAAGCCCATTGGACACGATATTGAAGTGAGCCCTTGAGCAGAGGAAGTAAACTTAAGAGGGACTTTTTTTTATGTGATTTAATTGTCTAAAATGCTTCCTGCAAGAGTGGGCTGCTTCTTAAGTGTGACAATAGACAACGTAGTTGTGTGCTTGCACTTGTTGCTTTCATTTCTGGTTACTTCCAGGACAGAATCTAGTGATGCTGTGATTTTATCATTAGAGTAGGTCTCTGATTCACTTTGCTTACATTCAGTCACTTGGCCCATAAAGCTAATGTTCTCCTCATGTCATAATAGCCTGAGTAAAATAGACTTCCAGAAAGAGGTGGCAGCACCTAAACATGTAGTCTTGCAAGATTTAGTGTGTCTCCAGTACGTAAGCTTTTAGGCGAGTGATGTTGACTGCAGAAGAGACTCCTGGAAGCTTCTCCCTACAGCTGTACCCAGATGAGAGCCCAGCACTGCAGACATGTGTAGACTGCTTCAGTATATTGCTACTGCTCGTTTAGACTTTTTCAGAGAAAGTGTGCAACAAAATGCTATGTATATATCCAGTGCTGGGATGGAAGATGAACTGCTTCTTTGAGGTTGTAGCCTTGCTCACTTCAGAATTTATAGCAATGAGGTTGTGAATGGTGTATGTGCTCACTACACAAACCAGTAATCTGTTGGTTTGCACTGTTGATATTTGCATAGAGATCTGACACAGATAGGCAGATACTGCAAACATTGCCAGACATGCACACTAGCCTACCTCTTCGGTTGAAGACAGTCTTTGTATTTCTTATTTGCACATGCAAGACTTGGGTCTTTCATGCTTTATGCATAAAGTGCTGAAGAAAAATCTTGATACTGTTCATACAGTGGTGGAACAGCCACAGTGGCTGTAACTGTTTACCACAGGCTCACACATTGATGCAGATGCTCAAATCTGTTTTGTAGATCAAGGGAACATGAATGACTCGGGTTTTTTGATACTCTTAACTACTTCTCCTATACTCATGAGGTTTTTATTTTTACCTAGGAAGTTGTTAAAGATGAGCAGGTGATAACTCAGTTTAACCAATTGAATTTGTCACAAACACCACCACTGGCTGAATGCCCAGTCCTTGATGCCTTGTTTACATAGTACAGTGTGGTGCTCTCGTTCTTGCTGCGCTTCCTCCCACTTAACGCCTGTGTATTTTACAGATGTTTTCAGTGTCTTCCATTGTTCTCCAAATAATTTTGGCAATCCTGAGTATAGCTAATATTCAAGGGTGTGATATGTGTTCTGGGTAGATGGCACACACTTCTGCAAAATTTTGGTTGTGTTAACAAAAAAAAAAAATAAAGAGGGATTCCACATCCTTAGTGAGAACTTAAGTCATTCTGCCTATACGTGTATAGATCTACCAGATCTTCTTCATTTTTTTTTTCTAGATTTAAGCTATTCCTACCTACTCAAAGATCAGTCAAGCTCTGAAAGCACTTTGTTGTTGTTGTGGGTTTTGTTCTGGGGGGTTTTGTGACCTGATATATGCTGAAATGACTGTGCTTGGGAAGGACTTTGTGGAGGACTCTTTAGAATAGTGACTGGCTTCAGTCTATTTTGCGTGCTCAGTAGTCCACATATATTGTGCAGATTGCTTCCCTTTGCTTCCCTTTTTAAGCTCTTCAGCTCCCTCTCTGCTTCTGTGCTGCCACTGAGCATAGTGATTTTAAGTAACTAATGCCTGAATTTTCACTCTCTTTTTACATGCTGTAGCATGTGGACTGCTGCTAGAACACAACTATGAATAAGCTTGTTAGATGCACTCGAAGCCCGTGTGCTTCTCTCCAGGAAGGAATTGGCATTTTTTGAAAGATGCTTCAGTTCTGCGAGATTCATTCAAGAACTTAAAAGCAGTGGCTGAAACTAGGTAGTCAGAAGAGGTAACTGTTCCCTGGGGATCATGCAGATTAATCCATGCATAATTTAAAAAAAAAAATCCTTCTCCAGGTTATAGAGCTTCTGTTTTAGGAGGGTGCAACTGAAATTAACTTGTGTTTTCAGGCCCACAGAAAACACAAAGACTAAGCTGCTACTGCTCTTTGAGCTTTAAAATTAGCTGTCCTGAGAATTCTTTATTGGGAACTGTTTTATTTAAATATGCAACTCCAAAAGAGTCATAGAAATAGAAGCTAGAAAAAATAATTAGGAAACTAGGGAGCACTGCAGTGTCCTTTGATAGCTTTAAAATGAAACTGAAGAGTAAGTAGCAGTTGTAGTATGTGTTTTGCTAGCCTTGATTTTGAGGGACCACAATTAAACATATCCCTATGGCAGAGGAGAGAGGGCCTGTTGCACAAATTCTCTTAAGCAAAACTGCATTTAAAAAAAATAAAATCAGTAAATAAGGAAACTGAACTTATATGGCAGTTCAGAGAGCTGGGATTTGCTATCATTTGCTTACTCCAGCATAATCTGATGGTAGCCAGCATTTTTTTAAATGCTGTATATGTCTGTCTGACTCCAAGGTGAAAGCTTGGGCTCTTCCTGGGCTTTCTGCACAGATTTATGTAACTTGTAGGCAAGATTTATGGCTTTCAACAGATGCGTTAAGTGTGAGCATCTTAGCTAAGATGGGTAATACCACTCTTCTGTTATAACTTTCAAAATTTAAAAGCTAATTTAAACTAAGCTTTCCTGTTTTTTGCTTTGTTTTCTTAAGCACTGGTTCAATTTCAGATGTTGGGCTAAAGATACATCCCACAATAATCTCAATATTGAAGGATATTGGGAAGATGAACTCTGATACTGACATGTTATGGATACCTTTTTTAAACAAATAAAATTGTGCAAAGAATGGCAAGTCCTATGGTTTTGACTGAAACAAAATGTAATGGTAATAAATATGTTCTGAAGTCAGAAGAATGTTGTGCTTTACAAACTGTTGATTTATACCTCTGGAGTATTCTGAGCTTTTCAGACCTTTATGAATGGTTTCCTCCTACAGAATATTCACATAAACATTACTTGTGGCGTAAACAAATAGCAAAGAATGCACCTGTCGTAGTCATGCTGTTCAAGCTGAGGAACTGCTTGACAGTGATCCAGCCACAATCTGAATAGCAATACTTGTGTGCTTCAGTAGAAAACTTCATGCCTTGGAAGTCAGTAGAGTGCTCTGGTGTATTGTCCCTCCCATTCCCTTGGAGAACAAGGACTAAGGCTGCTGATGGGCGTTGGAACTTGGCATGTCCGAGAGCACGTGTGCACACCAACCATTTCTTTACCAAGCCTGTGCCGTTTTCGAACACTTTGTCTTAACATAATACTAGTGTTTAATAAATTGTCTTTGTTTGCGCAAAGCTTTGCCGCAGGAAAGCTGCAGAGAATTGTCCAAAGGTAAAATCCAATATTGCTGTAACTATTTAAATACTGTTCCTACTATAATTTTTCTCGTCTAGTCATTCACTGTAGCTATTTACACCATCACAGAAGGAAGAAGACTTGTAATCTGTTGCATATGAGTATAGGCAACAGGCATATAGATGCACAACAGTGTAGAGGCATACAGATATACTTAGGTGCACTTGACCTTAACTGAAATGTGTTTTAGTAAAAAAAAATCAGCCGTAGATAAGTGTGTATACTGAATGAGCTAATGGAAAAATTAGTGGCAATAATGCCAACTAAACAGCAGTCTAAAAATAGCCTTTCTGCTTTCATAGTGCTGTTAAATGTCAGCTACTTAAAAGTAATGTGATTTTGAGGATATAGCACTAGAATAGTATTGTTACAAATCCCATTGGCCTCTTAAAAGTGCAAGCTTAAAAATAGTTGGGGATGGGGGTGGAATCAACTATTCAATATGGGTGGGAGGCTACTTGTTTTACTATGGTGATTGTACCAAAATTGTTGGGTTTTGTGTAGAACTTCTGGTGAATCATTTCTGCCTGGTCAGACATGGCAGATTTTATTTATTTGTTTTGCTACGTACATGCTGGTTGTTGCCTAGATGTTAGAGATCCTCAAAAATTGAGATCTGTTTCAGCGCTTGTCTAGGAGCTGTTCAGTCATGGGAACACCATATGACAGCCATTTCCCTTTTCCGTTCCTTACACCAGCTTAGAAGTAGGTTCAGTATTATTACCTTGCCAGAAAAGTGTTTGGAAGGTTTTGTTGCATTTTCTTCCTTTCAAAGAAAATTATTTTGGATGTTTTCCATGTGCCTCTTTGCATGTGGCTGCACAGTTAGTCCAGGAAACATACAACCTAGGAAACATGTGGTCATAGTTAACATACAGTATGGGAAACTTTTTTTCCTTGCCCTCTACCGTGCATTTCCAAAACTCACCCTCAGTGACACACAGAGCTAATCCAAGTGATGAACATACACACTCGTGCTGCTGAGCTCAGGTGGAGGTGGTGCCCAGCAGCATGCGATGCTGTTGCACACTGGTTCAACATCACATGGAAGGAAAGCTGGGCTTGAGGGTTTTCATCTCTGTGAAAGCCTGTGGCAGAACGGGTGTGGCAGAAAATGTTTAGCAATGATACTGCGTTAATTTCTAAGTGTTAAATGTATTAATCTCTTTCTCTCTTTCTCCTCAGAATGAATTGCCAAAATTCCACGTACTGTTCCTTTTCTTTGTGGCAGCCATGTTCTTCATCAGCATACTGTCACTCTTCAGCTACCACTGCTGGCTAGTTGGCAAGAACAGGTCAACCATAGGTCAGTTAATTGGAATATGGAACTGTTCCTTGTCAAGAAACCAACAAGTCAATGAGAATGTGAGGTCTGCAGGATATGCTATCATATATGAATGGCATTTTAAAATATTATACAATAAGAAGCATATTTGGGGAAAGTAAGTAAAGGCAACATACACAGAAAAATGAAGCAGGTGTAGGTGTTCTCTGCTGGAGCCAAGAATCTGGATTTGTGATTAATGTTAATTTGTTTTGTTTGTAATGTTGAGAGAAGTTTGAGTCTGTTTATTCATCTTCCCTGACTCCTTACTTTAGAGATATTGCATGTTTTTCTTTTACAGAAACATTCCGTGCACCCACATTTCGAAATGGCCCCGATAAAAATGGCTTTTCTCTTGGATGCAGCAAAAATCTGAGGGAGGTTTTCGGTGATGAAAAGAAGTATTGGCTAATCCCTATCTTTACCAGGTATTCAGTCGGAATGGGAATGAATTGGGGAATAAATGGATTCCATGACTTTCATCTTGTTTCATTTCTCCTAAGAAACAAAGCCCAGCTGCAAAGCCAACTTGTAAATCCTGCACTATGAATATGCATAGGGAAAATGTGGATGAGAAAACTGAGCAAATTCAGCACAGGGTTTTTATTCAAACACAGGAGCTTCACTGACAAGGGCCTTCTAAATATGAAAGTTTGGAAAGCTTTGAGAAGTGTTTTTCAAAAACTGTGTGCCTTTTGGAGGTAGTATTAGTGTCTGACTATAAAGCCAAAATCAGCAACTCAGAGGAGATCCAAATGCTTGAACTTCAGTTGTACTGAAACAATATCAGTTTTAAAACACTCCCTCTTACCTGAGAAAACTTGACAGCTTTCCTGTTGCTGTAGATGACAGTTTTGGCATTGAAAACCACCTGAGAGCATGCATGCAAATAAGCAGCAAAGGACAAAAAAATTCAGATACAATGCAAAATACTGGTTTTAGAACTTTAGGTGAGTCAGTGTTAGGGAATTGCAGACAGGCATCAGGGGAGCTTGATGAAGCAAGACTGACTTGCTGCCCACTCCCATTGCTCAGAAAGTCAGCAGAACAAATTAGGTGCTGTGTTTCAACACTGCTTTTGGGGGTCTGTGTATCAGTTAAAAATGTTGGTGAACGTATTTGAAGCTCAGGTCTGATAGCAAACAGCAGAGCTAATAACAAGATCTTAAGTTGCCTTAACCGTTCGCTCAACTACCATGACTTTTCTTGTGATTAAAAAAAGACAGAAGCTATATTGTAGATTGGTCAGTCTGCTTTGCCACCACATTTTTCCCTGATTAAACTTGCTTTAAAAGAAGGCTTACCTGACCTCAGAATCATGGGCAGAGGGGAAAGCATGGCCATCAGAATGCATATTTATTCTACTGCTTCTGGGGTTTTAAGTACCAGATAGTCTGACTATCTGTTCACAAAGACTATGGTCTACAGAAACAAAGTGATGTTTCTGAAATACACAGACTGAGAAATTGATTTGAACCTGTAGCATTTACCTTTTGTATGTGTACTTGTTCAGTTAATTTAAGTAAACTACAAACAGTGATTTGAATCTTTGTTTCTGCTTTAGTTTGGGTGACGGGTGTAGTTTTCCAACTCGTTTGGTGATTATGGATCCAGAGCAACTTACTGTCTCAAGCCAAAATGAACCTGCCAAAAGGTAACTGTAGCATTTAAGGTACTGATTTTGTTCTGTTCCATATTTCATCTGGATAAAAAAAAATGCTTTAAAATATATTTATTTTTTAAATTTTTTATACTTTTTGTCATCTTCAGAGTGAGTTTGTAAGTCTTCAGACAAGGACAGAATGGATCAAGGCTAAAAAACTGCTGCTTGATGCAGGAAGGCTGTTTCTTGGTTTTGACCCATAACAGAGGATATGGTTTTAAGGAAATAACAATACAGATTACTGGCTCTTAACAACAACCAAAAAAGTCCTAGGGGAGACTAAGGAATGGCCCTTGGAAAACAAAGGTTTAAGAGAATATTTTTTTTATGAGAGAAAGGCAAGGTATTAGTTTTATTTCACTTTCTCCAGCATATTTAAACAAGGGATGCTGAGACACAGTTTGCAAGAGAGGTATATCATTGTGGCTGTTGCTGGGTTTAAGCACTGGAGGGTTTTTAGCTCTTTGATGTTTATCCCTCCAAATCTGCACTGTTTGTATCTTCAGTGTATTTTCAGGAAGCCTCTTTTAGTTTCAAAGGCACAGGAATATGTGAAACTTCCAGAGAGTTTACCTTTGCCATTTTAGAAGTCTGGTATATAGCTTGGAGAATTTGTAGCTGAGTTACCTGGCATTAGGGGTGTTCAAAAGGGAAGTCTCTGAAGTTGCTTCCAGTGCATCATAACCTGTGGAATTTATTCAAGAGCAGGACACTTGTGTAAACAGCAGAGTATCCTTTTGCATTAGGAATATGTTCAGCAGAAGACCCTAGCATTTACTGATGGTTCCGTTGTTCTTCCAGACAGTACTGGTTTTCTTTTTAACTGGGTGGCAGTAGCATTGTTGTCTGCAAGTGGCCTATGTCAGGTAAGAGCTCAGACTGAGGTCTGGAATGAGCCTGTAACAGAATTAGTGTTGAAAGCAGGGGGGCATCTTTATTTGGCACTGTAGGGTTTTTTGTTTGCTTTGCTCTTAAGTAACTTCACTCCTCTAGAAATGTCTGAAATAAGCAGCTACTGCTATTACAGAATTCCTGTTGACTTTGCTTACTTCTCAGCTCTGGAGCCAATCAGCCCTTTCCTCCTCGACCACTCAGTGAATCACAAAATCGCTTGCTAGCCAGTGACAGTCAGTGGGTGGAAAGTGGCCCTGAAGAGGAAGGTGTTAAATCAGGTAGCCTGCACTGTAACACTTCTGATAATCTTATGGTTTTCTTTGTGGTGGGGTCTTCCATACTTTTTAGGCCTAAAAAGTCCTTAAGAACTGATTAGAGTCAAGTAAAAGAAAACTTGTTCCATAGAATCAAGTCAGCATGTTTGTAAGTTAAGGCAAACTTGTGTCTGGTGCTCTGACCCAAACTGAGCTACTGCACTAAGGTGGTGGATAGATGATTCTCTATTCCTTGCTTCCTGTTGTGAGATTTTGAATCTTGTTTCTAGGGGGAGGAAAATATTTTTCTAAAATAGGCACAACATAATAAGTGTGCTTTCTGGTTTGATGTCTTTGCTGTTTGTTGTGCAAATCTGCGAAAACACATAATTGAGATTCTCTCACATTTTAGGTGCAAAAAAGCATATTATAGTTTCATTGGAAAGCTGATCTCAGTTTATTACTAACCAACCATCTCAGTGAGAAACAGGTAAGACCAACATAATTGATTGCCATTTCTGTATACGTATGAGATTAGGCATCTTTAAGTCAAGTGTTGCTAGTCATGTAATGCAGAGGAGTTTTCTGATGTTGGATGAGTAATAGAAAAGTCTAAATAAAACTCAGAATGTCTGTCCAGGAGACAAGAATGGGAGACATGCTGTAGTGCAGGAAACATGGGCTGGCTAGATCTGAGTCAGACTAACCCTGTAATGCAGATTGAAGAAGGCAGTGTTGGATTTGTTACCTGACCAGAGAAAATAATTTAATCTGTTAAATAGGTAATTTCAAGAAGAAGTTCTGTCTTGAGGCAGCAATATTCTTAAGGAACTCGTTAACTGTCTTTTTCTTAATTGTACATTGGTGGGACATGCTCCTCCTCTACAAAGCTGTGTGTGCACAAGGAAGGAGGGTCAATAGGTTAATACAGGTGTCTGCACACAGGCTGCTCTGTCACACTTGGAACTGCTGGTGATCTTTTCTGTAGGAGCTCAGTGCACGTGTTGTGTTTAGGAAATACAGTGAGTGCTGCTGCATGGATGGATCTTCCCTTCATACATTTCCAGTCACTAAATTAGACTTCCCTTATTTAGACTTCATTCTCTATGAGCTTATAACCTCCACATTTTTGTTTCTGGAAGAGAAGATAATTGTATTTGGGCAACTAGCAGCTGTAGATGCTGAGGGCTGAGTCACTCAACCCCCTCTTTTTCTTTTTTTTTTTTTTTCCTCCTTTTTAAAGAAAATGCAGTATTTGAGTCTTGTGAGCTCAGTAATTTTAGGATCACTTAATTATTTTCTTTTTTTATTAAATAAACCTTCTGATCTAGAATCATTGTTTTGGTGGGGGTTTGGAGTTTTCTTTGGTTTGTTTTCATTGTTAAAAAAAACTGCCTAAAAGGTCTGTGTGGTGGGGGGATGGTGTGATGCTTGGATTGATGTTGGTCAGACTGCTCTTACAAGTTTACAAGTGTGAACTTGTACAAACCAAATCTAGGCTAGTTAGTGATACTTCTGAAAAACATGCTGATGAGAACCCACCAATGGTGAGTTTTCCCTTTGCAACTTTTCTTAACTCTGCATAAATGTAAAAATTAATGTCCCAAGCAAAGGATTCCTTTCAACATCTAGCTATATAAAACCTAATATGATCTAACAGGTTACTAAAGCTTTTTCTGTTCTTCATAGAAAGGAACAGGTATCTTCTGAGAGCAGTTTGTCCCAATAGCCTCTGATAGGGCATTATAGAAAGGTCTTAATCTTTCTTTCCACCAACCTAGAGAGGGGAGCATAAATTACTAGCTTAGGCTAGACAATTAATTGATAGTAGTTTGGGATTAATTTCCTTTCTGTCCTCCCTCTCTTCCTAGGTGAGGCCGACTTTAGTGAAGGAAGATTATGTACTTTATGTCACAGTTGCCCAAATTGCTGTAGTTTTAAAATTTGTATAAATAAATAGCACCTAATTGCACCCAGCAGAAAAATATGTTGGTATGTGTTATCTCAAATAATGGTTAACTCAGTACCACCATATTTCAGCCATTCTGAGTTCAGTTGGATTTGATCACAGTTTCTGTAGGCCAAGGTGGTTAATTCCACTCCCCCTGCAATTGTAAGCAGCTGTGCAATAGCTGTGAGTCCCAGCATCTGTTCCATGCCTTTTTGCATACCATGTAACAGACTGATAGTTGTTAACACAGCAGAAGCAATCAAAGGTATGGCTGATGAGCAGAACTCTCAGATTATTATAGGGAAAAGAGCATAAAGGCAGCAAATCCCCCAGCCAGCAGTCCCCAGCCACACCTAGGCAAATATCATCTCTATCCCCTTGTCTATCCATTTAATTCAAAATTCATTAATAATTCTTGCCAGTCAGGGATCCAAGATACTTCAGCCACAGGTCAGTCAGTCATGAAGAATTGATGTTCTTAATGTAGGTAATCTTCTAAAATATAAGAAGTTTAAAACAACAAAACCTCATACCTCCCAGAGGCTAATTATAAGTTACCCTTAACTGCTGTCCTGAATCAGGAGTCTGGAAATTACATGTTACCAGCTGCATTCTTGCATTGTACCATGATCTGTTTTTTTCAAATGAAGGGTATAATTTCACTAATTACCTCTTTTGTTTCACTAGGTTTCTGCAACACATTTTGTGCTTGAATATTACTTAATTTTGTTTGGATGAAGTTGATCAGTAAAAAATGGAACATTTTAGGAAGAGACAAGAAAATCAAGTTTCTGCACAGTACAATGGATTCTTGTAAGCACTATTGCAGAGCAGGGAAGTTAAGACAGATGCCTTAAGACTCTTAACATGCATTTATGCAACACTGAATTATATATTGCTACCAAAGGGCCAAATCCTGAAGTGCCCTGCTTGGATGCACAAGGTCCAGAGTGGGAACTATGCATTTCTGTTAAGCTGCAGTGGGTGGGGGTAGATTGCAGAGACTCCTACCTCCCCACGGGCAAACTTCACATCTTAGGCACTGCAGAAGTCACTTCCATAGCCAGTCTCCAGGGTACAGAAAGAAAGGAAAAAGGTAGAGTGGATAAAAAGAAAAATCAGCAGAGCACAGCCAAGTGAGTCTGAAGTGTGACTATGCATTGTGCGAACACCGGGTGATGGGGAAGGGACTGGATCATGTGTTCTCCCCTCCTCATATTAACCAGTCTGCTCCATGATCCTAACTCTCCAAGTATTTTGGGACTGAGGATTCCTTCTGCTAGCTGTGTTTTGGAGCAAGGTAATGCCAACAACATAAAAGCCTGGGTGTTGCTTTTTTGCTATAGGATTGAGACCCCTCATCATTTTAACTTGATTTATTTAACTGTATGAGGAAGAGAGCTCAGTGAAGCAAACTCATTTTTTAGTTGAAAATCACGAATTATTACTTTCCAACAAACGTCTATCAGTATACAAAGAAAAGTCATTCCATAAAGGAATTAACAATTGTTACATTTCCTGTTAATACCTGCATTGTTCCGTATGAGGCAGTAACAAAACAGTAAAGTACCCCTGAGAAAAAACCTTACTGCAGTTGGGTGTTGTTAGAAGATGGAACTGGAAGAATACTGCTTTTTCTATGGGACTCTTGGTGGTTTATAACTATTGTTTTATGCTTTTATCTTTTTTAATAAAGGCACAAGGTTTTATTGGTTGCTAAAGTACCATTTAAACAATTATAAAATATTTATTTGAAAATTAGTGTTGGATCATACATCTGTGTTAACTTACTGAAAATGTGTATGCTTTACACAAGTTCAAGCCCAGTCTAAGTGATGCTGAAATTGCTAAAGATTGAGTGCTTTGTGCAGTGATGTACCTGTTCACAAAAGGCAAAGTGTGTTTCCTGTGAGTCCACCCTCAGCTCAAGACCTACAGCAAACGTTTGGTTTTTCCCCTGACTCCTCTATAGAGAAGACTGCTATCTCATCTTCAGGTGGTATTGGAATTTTGCACCTGGAAAAAGTGACAAATAATGTTTTCCTGTCTGTAAATGTTCTGATGTTCAGCTGATTACAGACATGAGCCCTTTTGATACAGACTGAAGGTAGTAGCTCAGTTGATGATCTGGATGAAAAGAACCTGTTTTGTTTCTCTCCTAGGCAGAATGCTACTTAAGTCAAACGTTTATTATGGAGATAATAAGGTATCAAGTATACTGTGAGGTTTAAAATGGGATTTTTTTGTCTTTGGAAAGAATAATTTTTTTCTTAAATACAAGAACACTTTGAGAACCTATAAACATTGTTTGGTCACTGTTAGATGTTGTTGAGACAGAAGTAATGGTCCAAAGTTGGTGTTTTATAAAAGGTGCAGAATATTTCTTCAAACTTTGTACAGCGTATTTTGGTTTTACTAATTTCAAATCTTACAAAAACATTTGTACACATTACCCTGAAAAATTTAGCTTTTTCTTGTCAAATGTCAAGTGAGAAGTGCTGATCTGAATATCAACTCTCAGCTATATTGCACCAGCAAAATTTTTTGGGGAAGACACCAGAGCCAGAAGACTGCAAGTTCAAATGGCTCATTCTGAGTACCAAAATCTGCAGTCCCAGACACGGTGGAATGGAAATGGAGGGCCTGGGATACCATCTGGTTTTTACTGCATTGGTGTATTGCAGCAGGTGTATTACAACCACCCAGTCATAATCTAGCAGAACTGTGAGCAAGATCTGTCTCTCTAATGTGGTAAATATCATTGACTCAGCAATATGGTCTCTGCTTCCCCACCCCCAAAGTGCTGGATGTATTCCCCTATGCATGTCTATGCACTGTAGGCTATCACTAGTGTAACATGTTTGATTTCTTATGTCAGGATAGTTAATCTACAGGAAAAACTGCAAGCAAACAGACTGGGCTAATTCCTTGTGTGTTCTCTAGTAAGAGCTGGTCTTCTGAAGCCAGCTTTGTATATCTGATGGACATTTTTGTGGGTTTTCATTAAGAGCTGAAGTTTCTGACATCTCTGTGCAGATCACAGGTAGATTTTGTCCCAGATTTTTCCTGTGTTTCAGATGAGAAAAGGAGGAGGGCGATGTGCTTAGGATACTCTTGAGGCCATAGTTACAGTTTATGTAAAAGCAGGTATTACTGAACAGTCATTTTGACAAAGCGAAACAGTAAAATTATTCAAATATTATTCTTCCACATGCACCATCCCAAGCCCTCCCTTCCACACACACACCCAGAGACCTGCTTACTAACAGAAACTCCAGACTGTTACAAAGGAAAGAAGTTCTCTAAAGGAATTGTCTTGATAAAAACTAAGGGCACACCAGTGAGTGGGATAGGGGAGTCAGGTTTTCCTGGCAGGCCCTGGCTGGGAGGAGGTATTACATCTACAGTGGCAGGACAGTGTCTTCTGTCTTTCAGAGTCCCTAAGCCCTAAGGAAGGGCATTCTGTGCTGTATCAAAGAGCAGGATAAGGCAAAACAAGGGAGGTTGCCAGGAATTAAAAAGGTAGTGGGGACAAAAAGCTGTTTGGCTGTTGAATTGGAGGCAGACATGGATAACACTGCCAGCAGGAGCTGGGGGTCTGTGATGGTGCTCCAGGACACAGGTCCTTTTGGCCTTATCCACTGAAGAGTTGAAAACTTCCAGTGAATTGCAGCAGGAAGAGCAGCCCTGCCTGTTCAAGGAGGCTGGAGACTGATCCTGAGAAAATGACTGTTTAGGGTGCTGGGTTGTGTATATGCTGGTTTTGTTCTTTAACCTACTCTATATCAGCAAGTCTTAATAATACCTAGACTGTCACTAAAAATAACACCCATAAGCTTTTAGATAAAAATAATTACTATTGCAAGCCATAAACTGCATTGTAGTTACTGTAGGATAGTTGACATTGGCTGCAGTTAGAAGCTATGCTCTAGTAGTTCCTACTGCTTTTTTTTTTTTCTTTTTAAAAAATCCACATACACATGAATCATGCTCACAAAATGACATAAAACTCCCAGTGTGAGGATGGAAGCCTGACACAGGGCACCATTTTAAGTGTGGTTTCTCCTTGAGATTTCTGAAATGTCTAAAGATGATAAACGTGTCCCAGTGAAGATGAGGCAGGGAGACCCAGCTAATACTTATTTTTTTCTTACAGTTTATTCACAGGCTATAGAACATACACATAATTGCTGCCCCCACCAAAGGCATGATATGGGAAGAAGGCAGTAAGAGGTGTAGGTTTCTGTTGTACCTGATTTCCTGCAGTATTACCTTGAGAGTGCAGCATCATAAGTTATATGCATCATAAGCCATTGATTGAAAACTTCCACTTTAAATACTCTCAGGGTCATTTTCAGAGAGAGTTTGGGCACTTTTATTTTTAGTTATTTGAGTAGAAATTATGGTAACATTTTTGTTAAAGCTGCTCCTGGAGTGTGGAGTTTAGGGGTATCGAGCTAACTTGCTGTTCTTAGAAAGTGATCCTGTTCTCCAGAGTGCTAAATGGCTGCAGTTTTCAGGTACTGTTTCTTCTCTCGTTTGATCTAGTGTGGATCCTCTCTGTTGAAAATAATATTTTGGGGTTTGGAGGCTTTGGTTAAATTCAATACCATTCAATACCCACTGAAAGAACTCTTGATCCATCTGAAGTAGGGTCCGGTTGCAGCTCACTAGAGCCCCAAGAGGAGGGAAAAACAAAAGCAGCGTTAGCAGCACCAGTAGCGTCTGGCAGGTTTACCAAGAGGTGCATTGACTGACATAGATTAACTGGAGCTGCCTAGATCTGGAACACTGACTGAGCATATTTATTAAAACTTTTAAAAAAAAAAAAAAAAAAGGACAACCAAAAAACATCTTTGAGCTTCATACTGCATGTTATCTGAGGACACTGTCTACAATTGTACCTAATGGAGGGATTCAGGTATACATTTTCAGAGGGTCTTAACAGTGACTACTTCAAGTGCAGATCAAGAACACATCTTTAACAGAGCCTAAGGACAGATAGGCATGCCATGTCAGAGACCCTGCTATCCCTAAAAGGCACCAAAGACAGCAGCTGCATATAAAGTCATTTGTTAAAATACTAAACACATTTACTATGTTCATTTCTATCAATTTATTTTGTATATATAGTTTTTATATGCATTTTTCTTATTTACAAAACTGTCATGAAATGTAATGAAGCTACAAGTTGTAGTTATTTTTAATGCTGATTAAAACAGATGTTTGGCTGCTTTCTGCAGCAATTACTTGAATCTTGTTTCCATTAGGTAGTGAAGTCTGGTGTTTACAGGATTGTTTTCTTTGTTTTTTGGGGGTTTCCCAACTTTCTTCCCAGCTCCTGCCCCAAGACACAGTGAGCACATGCTCAGCAGTCACATGTGTTGGGGATGAAGTATTGGGATGACCTTGATGGGCACTGCAGCATTAGCGGTGACAGACACATTTCCTCCCGTTTACATTACCTAGCCAGCGACTTCTGTGCTTTAGCATGTTCCTCTCTAATTTGTCCTGTCCCCTTAGCCTGTTGCTATCAGATTTATTGTGAGATGCTTAAATCTTTCTGAAAAAGTAATTTACAACCATAAACACATCACAGAGAGATGCAGCATCCTTGCTGTCAAGTCTGCCCCCTCTCCTGTCCCTGTTCTAACACAGATGAATTAAACATCCCCGAGTTATTTATCTCTGCAATTATTTTTGTATTTGCCAGCATCATCAACATTTGCACTAAACACAATGTCCCAGGCGTTTTACTTCAGCATAATTATTTCTAATTTTGCTGCCTAAACTTGTAATGAGCTGTATTTAAATTTGAGGTGAAGTGTAAAAGATGTATGTAATAACAACACATTTATTGTATTTTTTTTTAATGTAACAGACAGGACTAGTCCTATGCGCAGAGAAAACATGTTGCCATTTATAGTTTAATACTTGAAGTAACTTTTTAAAATGGGTTTTTATAAATGAATTCAATACAAAATTACATTGCTTTGCCTGGAGTTCCTTCATGTTTTAATTGTTATCGTGCAGTTTCGCCATATGTATGCTTTTCCAGAAATGTTACCTTAAGCCATTTATAACCATTGGAAGTGCATTCAAGATTTTGTACATGAGTGTTCAGACCTGTTCATACTTCACTGAAGTGTAATTCACATTTAAATAAAACACTTGTACTGCTTTAGGCTACTTTTCAAAGGTGATAAAATACGAGTGGATTTGACACTTGAATTCATCAGTGAATGCAACACCAACTTAATAAAAGTCTGTGAAAGATCTGAAAGTTGTTAGCTGTAGCATGTGTGCATTAGATGGGCGAGAAAAACTACCTACCTGGGAAGCATTTTGTAACTGTTCCACAGTCTTTACACTCCGGCTGCAACAAACCTAAGATTCCACTCACTCTTGACACATCTTCCAGGCCATATGGTCTTGAGAGGAGAAACAAAAACACTCTGACTTGTGGCTGCCTATATCCTTCAGGGCACTAAACATGACTTAGAAGATTGCCACACAAACTCAGCCTGCTGTGTTCCTTTTAGAAATAACTTCTGTAAAAGAGGGCAGTAAATTCTAAGCTGACACATAACAATGACGGAAGCATTTAAATTCAGTTATTCTTTCCAGAAAGTTTTTAAAAAACTGGAGTATTTTACAATCTCCCATGCGTTCCAGCTTCATACACCTAACTTTGTAATTCTAACTCATCTTGATCCTTGTAGGCCTGATGAAGACAACACTGTGTAAGTAGCATCAGTTGTTTCAAGTATTAATGTGTGGTAGAGAAGTACCCCTCCAGAAAAGTGACCATCAAGAGCCATCTGGCCAGCAGCAGCAGATGATGCCTTTCAAGAGAGCAGGTCTGCTCTCCCAGCTCTCAGCAGGACTTAGCGTAGCTACACATCTCGTTCTGATCATCACTGCTCCTGGTAATGCATGCTGCTCTGTGCCAAGCCCCTGAAGAACAGAAGGCAGGCAGATGGTAGAGACACAGAAATAACTGGTTTTCTGAAGAAACAATAAAATACCATACACTGTTCCGTAGGAATACGTTTAATACACCACTTAGCATACCAAGCAAAGTCTCGTGTGTCACCTACCCTTTACTAAACAGATTGACAAAGCTACCATGAGAGGTACAACAGCAGATCCCATGGTAGTGCACAATACATGCCAAATACAAACATGCTGTATTATTCAGGATGTCCACTTTTTGGTCACATTTAAATGGTTTAACTCGTCGCTGATGTATCTGTGCTCAGGGAATTTTGCTCTCCTCAGTTTTTTGAAAGCTTCCCATCTTGCCCATCTCTCTTCTGTGTTATGTTTGTACTCCTGTTCCCGTGTCAGGTAAGGTCGACTCAGCCAATATTCATTCTCTGCTTCAATTTCCAACCTTCGGATCATTGCCTGCTTCATTCCAACGGTAACCACTCTTGGTCGCCTGTATTTTCCAATCCACTGTTTTCCAGGAATTCTCTTTCGGAGTAATACCATTGTTAGAAACATTATGCCTCAAAATATAAACAAAAATATACTCATTACCTTGGGGCCAAAAGTTGAAAATTTGACAATAATTCTGCATACACTCCACTCACTGCCTTTTAGCTGGCTGTGTTGAAGTCTGAAGTTCAGAATTTGATACTCTTAACCCACCACTGCACAGTAGGCAGTGCAGTGACAGACAGATTGGAAACTTAAGATCAGAAAAGGGAAAATGGTTATTTAGCTAGAGTTTACTCAGTTCTCCTTACAGCGATATTAAAGCGTGTCCTCTATAAATTATTTATTAAAAACCCTCTCCCAAATACTATTAAATACAGGATTGCTTCATTCATTCCTTCAAACAGCACTGTCAAAATAGGGAGCATCTCCAGATTATATTGCTGATCCAGTATTTCCTCAGTATTCACTTCTGAACCACAATCTCTCCATAAACTTAGTAGTATGCAATTACCTGGTCTTGTATTTTAACTATAGGAAATTCTGTTTGTAGAGGAAAACAATACCTTACCATTTGAGTAATAATAAATATGTTAGGCCAACTAGCATACGTAGAAAGCAGTAATCAGAGAATCTTAGGGATTACAAGAGACCTCGAAAGATCATCTATGTCCAACCCCTCCTGCCAGAGCAGGGTCACCCAGAGCACATCACACAGGAACTTGTCCAGGTGGGTTTTGAATGTCTGCAGTGAAGGAGACTCCACAACCTCCCCGGGCAGCCTGTTCCAGGGCTCTGTCACTCTCACAGTAAAGAAGTTTTTTCTGATATTCGCATTGAACCTCCTATGCTCCAGTTTGCACCCATCGCCCCTTGTCCTATCACTGATCATCACTGAAAAAAGCTTCCAACACAACATTCAGGTGTAAAAAAAGAGGCAAGAAAGGCCAAGCTAAGTTTAGAACTAACACACATGCTCCTAATTAACTTGTTTATTAATCCTAAACATACCTAACTCCTACGTGTCTCACTACACAGTATCTTCCTCAACTGGTATGTCAGCCAGACCTTTCATCACAGCAAAACCCAGCACCACTAGTGAGAAAGCCGCCCCGCTACACCCCATTCCCACAGAACACGCTGCACTCTCTGGAGCAGTTGAGAGGTGAAGCTGTGGGGCTTGGCGGGGCGTTGCTACTTCGGCCTCTGCTTCGGCCCGGCCCGGCCAGGCCTGGCCCGGCC